CTCTCTCTCTCTCTCTCTCTCTCTCTCTCTCTCTCTCTCTCTCATTCAGTATTTCTAGTCTCAAGTGACACCTGGAAAATATCAATTAATTAATTGGATATTTTTAGGTGGGAGAAATAGATGGCGGTCTCGAGGTGGCCGAAACGGGAAAGATCGTAGCTACTCGAGAAGTAGAAGTCGAAGTCACAGTAGGGAACACAATGGTCGTAGTAATCGTCGCAGTTACAGTCGAAGTTACTCTCGAAGTCGTAGTCCTGTTAGCAATCGTACAGGTAAGTAACGGTATGTTCGCATTGTGCTAAAGCATCTGTATATCTGTATCTTAATGGAACAACTTCTCAAATTTTATATTGTGTAAAAAGATTTGTATGTTTATAGAAGTAATCGGTAAGAGCTATTGGAGCAGCGAGAGATGATCTTCCACGAACAGTTAAGGACCAAATCAATTGCATATAATATAAAATTCATGATTTTTCTCTTTTTTTCTCTCTCTCTTTTTTTTTCTTTTTCTATGTCCCTTTTAAAAGTACACACTTGATATGTACACGTCGCATAAATTATGACATTGTGGTGTTCCACTGACGTATACGTCGCTGATAATACTTGTGCATTACAAGTAGATCAGAGTTAGAAATGTAAGGTGAATGTTTTCAATAAACGAATACACATCCTTAAATTATATAACAGAACGACGTGGTTAGTTGAATACGGTATAACATGTACTAAAATATATTTTAAACGAATTCTCGAAAAATCAATTGACAAATCTACTGACATTCTCGACGATTATCGAATAATTGTCAAAATTAGGGTATCAAGTGATTTTCGACGTTTTCCGAATGTTTCTACGTTAGAGCGTTTCCTTACTAGGTTTACGTCCTGAAAAATTCAATCATAAAACAGATGAATATAAGATAATAATGTAGTTTATTCACACACATTGTGTATCACGTACATGTTTTATAACAATTGTTGCAGCATCCGATAATACAAGTTAGTTTTATCTAAGCGGCATTGTGAGTTTAATTAGACGAACTACCTAAAAGATCCAAATGATTCCACAGTTTGTCAAAAACCTGGCGATCAATTGTACACATTTAGCGCTTACTGGCAATTACATGTATTCGCGCATTTAAAATCAATGAAGTAATGTACAGTATTTAATAACGATGTAATAAATGAATTTATTAACTATTTAAGAATTCGTTGGTCTTCCTGTGAAAAGAGATTTCCTTCCCTAAATGTTCCATCTCTATTCATTGTCAGAGCGATTGACTTCTGACCCTGTAAGAGCATCACAAGACATTCATCATCAAATAGTTGAAAAATAATAAAATAAAATTTGCCTGACGGGGGCTATTATTTTTCAACTATTTGATGATGAACTTCTTGTGGTGCTCTTATAGAACTTTCTT